TCAGCCAAAAAAAAAAAAAGCTGTACAGATATTTTCAGCAGGAGATGAACACAAGACATTTCTTCAGATGCTGCTGCTGCACAGTATAGGGGAAGTTGATAAGAAAAAAGTATAATTATTCAAGTTGGCCCATTCCCTGGATTACAGGCTGCAGTTTCACATCCCATTGAACAGCATGATGCCATCTAGCAGATGCTGAAACAACTGATCAGTTACTAGGAAAGGAGGAACTTCTAACAGAACCATAACATCTATGTTGGGAGTAAAACCAGAGAACTCTCTATTTCATCTTGCTCCAGATTCTAGTTCAAAGAAATTGGAGCACATATTAATCTGGGATTGTGATACTATCAGGTGTATTTTTTTTAAAAGCATGTATGTCTGTAAGCAATTAGTTGCAAAAGTGATAGCTGCAACTTGATTTTAAATGGTTAGTGTTTTCTAATGCAGAGTAAAAAGAGGTCCTATGAATAATTATAGAACATTATGGAAAACATAGTAATTGGAAGTGGCTATGGACAAGCAGAGTGCAGATTGCAGTGTGCAGATCAACCCTGGTCATTCTGACTGATTATCCAGCATCAGTTAGTTTCCATAATTCTTGCAAAGAATATCAAATTTAGGAGAATATGTCTGTCCCTGCAAAGCATTTTTTCAATTCTTAACTGAGAGTTCGGTCTAAGTGGAAACAAGTGGAGTATGCCTTAGCCATAAAGAGATCCTGAATATGAATGCAATGCAATTTGAAATGAATTGCTGGAACAACATGAAGATTCTTGTTTATTGATTTGTTTGCTATTTTTAAAAGCAATCACAGAATACAATTCTGCTACCCTGCCACCTCCTAGAAAAACTCAAAATCTATTATTTGTGTGAAAAAAATAAGCTTATATGTTTTTATTACCATTCCCAAATTCTTCGTGCAAACAATGAGGTTGATCATTCCCAATTTCAAATACAAAACTAAGGCAGAGAAAGAGTGATTTGCAGAAACAACTGAGTGAAAGCATTAAGCTAACTAAAATAGAATCCACATCTCACAACACCTAAATTCAATCTAATTGCACAGTAAAGCAAACTATTGTGTGCAGATAGGCTTTGCAGTCACTGATATGGAAAATCAGTGTCTAGGCTAGTGCTTCCCAAATCTGGGTAAATTACCAAAAATTGGGTTGAAATGTTTTTTCCCCTTTGGGTAATAACACATAAACACATCATTCAATCATAACAGGAATACTTAAACTAACTTAAAGGGTTTTACCTACATTGGCTAAAAAGGACTTTCTAACAATTGTTTTGGGGTAATGAAGGTAAAAGTTGGAGAAGCACTGGTCTAGACTAAAATGAAAAGATCACAGCATGCAATGTTTATTCAGATGCACCTCTAGCTACCTCCAAACAATCACTAAATACATCAGAGGTTAGGGAGAAGATTTGTGACATGGCCATAAGAGTCACAACCTATCTGGATGGTTGAATTAGGGCAGGGCTGTCAAAACCCGGCCCGCAGGCCAGATGCTTCATGCACTGGCCACGCCCATGCCCAATTTAGCAAAAGGGGGAAAGTCCCAATACGTCACGTGACGCAGCCGTGACAACGTGAATATGACACCACTGAATTAGGGGACACAGTTATCAAGATTTTTTCCATAGTAACTGAAACAGTGTAATTGTCAGTATTCCTTCGTGGAACTCAAGTCCTCTTTCAGTAATTTTTTTTTTTATTTGATTTATATGCCGCCCTTCTCCGGAGACTCAGGGCGGCTTACAGTGCGTTAAGCAATAGCCTTCATACTTTTGTATATTTATACAAAGTCAGCTTATTGCCCCCACAAACTGGGTCCTCATTTCACCTACCTTAGAAAGGATGGAAGGCTGAGTCAACCTTGAGCCCGGTAAGATTCGAACCTGCAGTAATTGCAGGCAGCTGTGTTAATAACAGGGTGCTTTAAACCACTGTACTACCAAGGTTCTATAGTATACGGTACATATTTTCTATTCTCTCTCAAAATGAACTATTCTTCCCTAAAGAAAAGCCAAATTTGACAAAGAAAAGTCAAAGTAATTGACAAAGTATCTGTTCAGTCCAAACCTATTTGAGAACAAGCCTCTAGGAATATTATGAAAATCATTTTCTAATTAACACAGGATTCGACAGAAATGAACTCAATTATGCAAATGTGGCAATTTCCATCATTTATTTCAGCTGCTGCTACATTTTATAAGTTATCTCATCTGAAAGAAAAAAGGAAAAACTGATGCTTTCCTTGAAATATGATATTTTGACAAAGAAATTTAAATATGCGGAACTATAATTCTCAGTAAGCATGGCTTAAGAAAATTGATCTGAAGCTACAACTTTGGCACAGACTCGTATCCCTAAACTTCCTTGCACAAACCAAAAGCACAAACCAAAAGTAACAGGAAAAAAAAGTACAATATTCTAAAAGCTAATCCAAAGGTGCTTTTTCAATTCACAACTGGACTTTCTGGTTTTTCTTTGAAGACTTTTTGCTTCTTATCCAAGAAGCTTCTTCGGCTAAAAGCTAACCTTTTTTACAAATAGAGTCTAGGAGGAATAGGATGAGGATGGGCTGCATTGCTTTGACCACTATCTATTGAGAGTTGATATATTAATCTTTATTTCCTAACAAATGCGTACACACATAATTTCACATAATATAATTTTACTGACATAAATAAGGATAAAAACCAAGTGTTACAGGGAGTAGCTCTTGAAACAGTAGCTTTTACACCTTCAAAGCAGAAGTAATGGATCTGTTCTCCCTTGACAACTTTCAAGATGTGGGAAGCTAATTAATTAGCCAAGCTAATTAATTCAATAAGAGGAAGCGCTCAAGAAATAGCTTCCCGAAAAAGGGTGATTTAAATGTGTATGAACTAAATAAGTGTCTTGGAATAAAATTAGGAATACATTTCTTATACAGACTGGAAAGTAATGATAGTTAAAAGCTAAAGATTCATTGCAACCGTTTTTCCAAGGATGTAAGGTATTTGCTGTTGCCTTATACTGATTCAGACTATTTAAGCTTTCCAAATTTGATATCCTCTAGATGTATTTGAAAATCCTATCAGTTTTAGACCAACACCTATGCAGGCTATCAAAATTGGAAAGGTTCATCCAGGTTGTTGTTTCCTCTGAACAGCCAAGTAGATCTCAAATGAAATCAGTCTGGCTCTCTGCAAATATTCTCAACTAGAAATGCCAGGCAGTGAATTGAACTAAGACTTCAGCATGCAGGACTTTCTTGCATCAACTGTACAGTTAGCCAACTCTAGAGTTTATACTTAAAGCAAGACAATTCGTTTCTCTGTGCCCCTCCATTTATATTTTTTATATGAAGAGTTATTTATATGAAGAGTATCAAGATGGGGAGGAAAGAAATTGCCAGTGCTAAGCTGAATTTGCCACAGAAAACTCTTTGTGTTTTGAAGGAGTATGCTCTTCAGATGTCCAAACTTCACCTAAGCAAATTACTTAGTCAGGTTTGCAATAGGTACCAGTAAGTGCTTCATTTTTTAAAAACACCGTGTGCAGGCATAGTATTAAACACAAAAAGCATACACACATGCTCCAAAAAGAAACAAGATTAAGATATGCCAAATCTCTATCCCTTATAAGTTGATGAATATTTACCATCCGTACCTTATATTTTAGTAAAAGCAGCAACTTTACAAGACAGCACTGGATTTCACTAATCAGCGTTCAGGGAAAATAAATCTTGAATTTTCAGCAGAGAAAGGTCAGAATGAGTCAATTAAATCAAAATATGAGTAAAACACTTCATGATTGTGCTACTATGACTACAGAATATCGCTGTATCATACCCTACAACTGCCCAAAGGATGGCGCATTTAAATCCATCCTTGAGGAAGCAGAGGAAGGAGCCTATAAACACTGATTCACACTAAAAGGATAAAATATTTGGGTTAGGTATATTGGGATCTTTTATACAAAACTCAAAAGCAGGGGTTTGCCGGGAATTATCTGAGAAGCTCACTCTGAGCATCCAAAAATTGTGAATGAAAACAGAGGAGGACAGATGCACAAGAGGAAAGCAACAACTAAATCACTATGTGATGGAGGAGGCAATCTAAATCTGGGGGAGGAGTAGGCAAGCTCATGCAATAGACATTAAGCAGCTAAGTTAAGAACCATTCTTAACCATTCTCTACTCATTTCACAAAGCCCTTTGAAAGGTAATAATCATAGCAACTAATTGTCTGGCTGTCACTTTGAGGCTTCGGATTTGTTAACCATGGCAAACTTTAAAAGGGTCCACCTTAAAAAAAAAAAAAAGAAGAGGAATCTCCCACATGAAGGCTACCTTAAAAAAAACTAACTTTCTCCAGCCAGAACAGATTGAAGCCCCAGTGGTACAGCACCCATGGAAAAGTTCCTGTTTTAAAACTTCTTTAAAAACCATGCGAAGAGTACACATAGAAAGAAGAATGCATGGCATTAAGTATCTGCAAAAGAGGGCAGAGACCCATTACACAGACTCAGAAAGAATTACTCACATTATATAACAGAGATGTTCCAGGACAAATCTAAGAAAGAATCACAAAAGAGCTACAGCATTGCTATCTCTGGTCATGCTGCTATTCCTCTACCCACCTTTGTAAGATTAGTAGCAGCAGCAATATATAGATTTCCAGAGTTCCTACCACTACCACCAAAGAAATGATAAAACAAAAGCTTTTGAGGCAGGGAAGGAATTCAGCAGACATTTAGACCAGTTAATGAGATAAAAAGAAAAATGTAGCTCCTTTCCATCTAAAGGCAGGCACCCCTCCTCCCGAAGTCTTCCATTGCTCCCCAACAGGTAGCAACATTACACTGAGTCCAGGATTTCTTTTGTAAGTGTACAAATATGCACTGGGAAAAAAATGAAAGAGGCATTGTCTACTTTAAGAAAGCCAGCAATCTACCCGAACAGCGATCCCTGCAAATAGCAAATGCTAAAATAATCCCTTACCTTGAATAACATGCATGGCTCCTGGCACTAGACTGTGATATCATTCCAGAGACATTATTTGTAATTGGGGTGGGGGGCGGGGAGGGAGAAGACTGAAAAAGGGAGGAGAAAAGGGAATAAAAGAGGTGGAGGAAATATAAAATGAGAAGAGGATTAGGAAAGGAGAATAAGAGGAGACGGGAAGGTGCAAAAGGAAAGAATGGAGGGATGAAAATTGAGACTGCAAAATCTGTCTCCTGCCTACACAGTGGAAAAGAAATTTCTGACGAGAGAGAGAGAGAGAGAGAGAGAGAGAGAGAGAGAGAGAGAGAATCACACATAACCAGAGGGGGCACAGGGGAATAACAACACAGAACAGAGTAATCAAGTGAAATTAAATACTAAGAGAAATATTTAGGCATAAGGGACTAAGGAGAAGGTGTTGGGCAGGATAGAAATTGAAGGTTTGCTGGAAGTGTTGCATATATGCTTAATTAAGGTAGGGAAAAAGAACCATGCCCCCTGTACCCAGGTTGTTTAGGCTGAAAGAACTGGGAAAAGTCTGTTGACCTATAATTCACTCTTGGCAAATTTGTGGTGGAGGGGGCACTGAATAAATCTACACTTCAAAAATACAGAAGGGTTTGCACTAATCTTGTGTTTGGGTTGGAAGTTGCAAAAAGATTTTGAAGAAAGCTAAACATTGCTTTGGAAAATGTTGGGATAGTGTTGTAGCTGTGGCTCTCCATGTGTGTGTAATCTGCAACTCCTAGGAACCCAAAGTAATGAGTGGCAAAGATGTTGAGAAATATAGTTCCAAACTATCTGGATGGCCACAGAGTCCTACAGTCACTTCTTATTCAGTGACCAGCACTATCACAAAGTTTTTAAGTGTGACTTCCTAATGCCTTTTTTTAAAACAAAACCTTCACATCTTATTTGTACATCATACTCTTATGATTCACATATCTCTTCCACAAATACCTTTGCGTATCTTTGAGTATCTATCAATATATTCAATCTCAGATTAACTTTGAAATGCTGAATGATGCTGAGACTTGTACATTAGACAGTCTCCTGCTAGAGACCAGGCAGATTGTGATTTTTAAAGGCCACCAATAACAGCTCTTTGAATTTGGTCCAAATGCTATGATAATGCTTCCCTTCCCAATAGAAAGTTAGCTTGCTGTGGAGTCATAGAGTCACAACTGTAATATTGTACTTGGTTCCGAAACAGGAGGAACCTGTTCACTAATATTTTGATCCCAGATTAAACTCTATTTACCGTCACTTCCCTCCCTAAGTATCTCTTATTGTCCAACTTCATCATTACTGCACCTGTTGAATCCTTGTTAATTTAAGCTTTGTTATTTTTATCCTGCCTCCAGTCTAGAGAGAACTGGATATATACTGTATGTTACTTTCATTTAGTTTATAATAGAAAAAAATAAGATTTAAAAATGGACTACGCCTCACCAGCTGAAGCACAAGAGATAGTTCACTGCACTATAATATAGTCCCATGTTGTCCATGTGTAAATGCTTGAATGCCTATTAAGTCCCAGATATGCATTCCCCCACTTTCAATTTTTCTAGCCCTACTGAAAGAAGTAAAAACCTAAAGAATGACAACAATGTACATAAGCATAGTTTTAATAGACACTCCAGGAAGGCAAAGCAAAGACTGTGTTGTGAAGAAGGAAAGCTTCATCAAGCTCAAAGTGCCTCTGGAATGGCAGGACACAGTTGAAGGATTTCCCTTGTGACTTTGGAGCTTTTTAAAAGATTGCTCAAACTATTTCTCTATTAGGAGATAATTTGGCTTCTCTTCAGTTAGAATATTGGGGGCGGGTACCATTCTATTTAATTTAAAGGGTATAAGCAGCAGGAAGCATTTATTTTTGGTCCTAAATTGTATTGTGCTGTTATATTTTAATAAATATAGAGCCAGTTTGTTAGAACATAATATTTGTCCTGGACTTAGATTCAAACTCCATCTAAGTATAAAGTTCACCTGCAGATTTTGAAACAGTTGTCATCTCTCATATATGCTATGCTATGGGACTGGATTGCCTACAGAATAAATCACTTAACCATACTTATTTTCCTAAAATCATGAAGAAAGGTAGGCTGAATGGAAAGATGTAACAAAACATTATATAATGCTTGTATATTTTATAATCATTCTTGAAGGTAGAATATTTTAATTATTTTGATGAAAGAAAATTAAAGATTGCTTACTATAGTTATCTATTAAATCCATGAGAGATTCAAGTCTAAACTCATGTTTCTCGAGTTTTATTTCATTTCTGATGACTTCATCTTTCATCTTTCCTCCATAAACTGGATGTTTCCATCACAAATCAGGAATATACTTCAGTTCATTGGGCTGGGAAATCCACAGACATGAAAGACTATCATCTTTTGTAGGTCGTGAAAGTATCAGTTTCCAACTTAAAGGTATTTGATTTTATACATTTACAATAGCTACATCTCTTATCCATTCCCATATTATTACAATAACCAAGAGTATTTTCATCAGGTTCTGTGTCTGTTTTTAAGTTTCCAGAATAAGCGTTTAAGTTTAGGAGGTCAAGGAAACCACGATAAGTAAACACTTATTTCATTCTCCAAATGCCCTTGTCTCTAATCCTCTGTTTCTCCCAAAGCACAGTTCCTTTCCTGCAATGTACGCTTTGTTCTAATTCCATTCACCTTCCCCCTCCCACCCGCTTTGGTTTTACAGAGCTCTAGAAGTAACATTTGCAAATGAGAGACATGACATCAAACTGTTCTTTGAGAGATATTGGGGGAGGACAGAGAAGACAGCCTTGGGAAATCAAGACAAGCACTTAATCTAAAAGGATTTCTTTCCTAGTTATTAATAATCACATTTGAATAATTTATTTATTTATCTCAAGGCAGAAGTCTCATTTCATTCTTACAACAACCCCCAGAGGTAGAACAGGTTGAGAAATGCAGACCAACCAGCAAGCTTCCTTCCCGATTAATACTTCAAGCTGAAATTCTTTTGTCCAATTGTCAATAATGTTACATTGGTTCTGGACACCGTTACACTGAAATAGACATATTATCTGTTATGATATGAGCTGCATTCCTCTTCTGTTTTTCAATTATCACAAATTACTTTGAGATGAGAATTTATTTAAACATTTTAAGTAAATAAATACCATTTTAAATACATATGATCAGGGCCGGATTTAGATGAAAAGAGGCCCTAGGCTATTCCACTTATGAGGCCCTTTCACCTATAGTGAAAGTGTAATTTTAATTTTGCTAACAATTTGAATGTAGGCCCCTCTTGATCTTGAGGCCCTAGGCTGAAGCCTAGTTAGCCTATAGGAAAATCCGGCCCTGCATATGATTGGTTTCTTTACATTTTCTAGGAGGCCTACATATATTTCTTGTATTTATCCATCAGGATTTTTACAGGTCTTTTTCTGTCGTAGTCTTGCTCCTCTAAAGTCCATTTAGAGAAGAGAAGAGAAGAGAAGAGAAGTCAAGTCCATGTGGGTGCTAATTATTAATGTCACTGTTCTGCCTGGGTGTGATTTTGACAGTGACTGACATATTGATCCGGTAAGCTTTATCATGGACCAATATAATTGTTTTTGTTTTTATCATTTCTTCATTTTGTTTCAATCTACAATTTAAAAACAGTTAGAGCATTTAAAAAAAGCAGCAGCATTGACATGGTTGAAGGAATGGATTGAACTAAGAAATGCAAGGTTGCTAACACTGGAAGGGCATGATTTACAACTGGGATGGCATGCCTTTTTATGGCATGGTAGAAGTAAGATACACACATACTTTCATAGACATTATATAAGAAATGCATTGTTACTGGTATGGAAGAAGGTTAAAGATAAATTTTATGTGAAAATACCAACATGGTTATCAATAACGGAAGTTTTAACACACCCAAATGTCTTTAATTTTGGAAATATTGTTAGATATAATGAGTTATTAACAGATAAGGGGGAATTGAAAGAGAAACGAGAATTGGAACAACAGGGAATTGAGATAGATTGGTAAATGTATACGCAGATAAGATCAAGATATGAAAAAGATGCTAAATTATATAGTTTTTATATGGAAAAGCCTGAACTGGATAAGATACTCATGGGAACAGAGGAAAACTTAATAAAAAATTTTTATAACTTTTTGCTGTACATTGAATTGGAGGAGGAGCAAGTAAAAGAAACAATGATAGCCTGGGGTAGAAATTTTGGTTATCCAATTGAGTTTGAAAAATGGCAACAATTATGGGAAAGGACTCTAAATTAACAATGTCCACTGCATATAAGGAAAATCAATATAAAATGTTTTATAGATGGCATATGCCACCGGAGAAGTTAGCAAAAATGTTTAAAGATAAATCGGCTACCTGCTGGAAATGTCATCAAACACCAGGATCTTATTACCATATGTGGTGGACTTGTCTTGAAGCAAAAAGTTACTGGTACAAAATTAAAATCTGGCTGGAAGAAATGATACAGCAACGCATTGAATTTAAACCAGAGTTGTTCCTACTGGGTATCTTTCCAGAAAAAATTAGTAAGGAAAATGTATATTTGATCATACATGTAATAACAGCTGCAAGAATTGTGTATGCTCAAAATTGGAAATCAGAGAAAATACCTTTGGAAGAAGAAGTAATGAAAAAAATTAGATTGTGCAGAAATGAATTGATTAACTTTGATGATTAAGGATTAGGAAGAATCAGAATATTTTCAAACATGGAATCATTTTTATAGTTGGTTGGAAAAGAGATATAAATGACCGATATTATAGCTATGTACAATTGATGATTACAATATTGTTTTAGCAATGAAATGTTAGAATGGTTTGGATGAAGATGAAGATAGAAGTAACTTATGGAAGATGGAGAAGAAGCCTAGAAGATAACACCGAGATGTCACAGGGAAGGGAGGATTAATGTATTAAATGTTTGCTTGTCTTAAAAAATAAAAAAAATTACTCCAAAAAAAAAAAACCAGAGCCATATTGCAATTAACTCTATATCACTAGCAAAAGGATACTTAAATGAAAAGTAACTTCCTAGACATTGTTATTTTAGCAAGTTAGTTAATAAATTGTCTTTCAAAAAACAATTTTAAGACTTTTATTGCATGAAGTTTATTTCATACATTTGCTTTATTCATTAAATTTTGGGAGGGCT